GCCCAGCCAGGTATAGTTGGGCATGCTGCGGCAGGGGAGGCAGGGGAGAGCTGGAAAACAAACCCCAGGCCCGTCTCCCTCTCCAGCCCTGTCTGGGTGCCAGCCAGCACCTGTTGGAAGTGAGCGGTTTCCTGCCTGCGTTACAGTCAAGGCTATGATCGTCCTGGCACCAAGCAGCTGTTGCTTGTGTTCAGTTTGCAAGAAACAAAAATAGCTTCGGCCCTCGCTGGGTTTTCGGGTCGGCCTGGTTGCTTCAGTGAAGGGCAGCAGCTCAGCGTGGCCTGTCTGCCAGGGTTCACGGGAAGGACATCGCTGGCCTTGACTGCCCGTGGGTCTGAACCACATGCACAGTGCTCCTTCTAGACGGCTGTGCACACCTGGGTCCACCCTCCAGGTTCACAACTGGGGATCTGACTTTAGGATCGTATCCAGGTGTTCAGGGGAACACCCTCCACTTTATGGGATTTACTTATATCCAGTTTTGATGGTGGTGCAGTGGGAAGGGTACCGGCATGGGGCCTGGGTATAAGCAGAGTCAAGGAACTGAACTCTGAGCCACAGTTTATCAACTTGTAAAATGGGACTGAAATAGAGACTCTAGCAGTTGTGTGGGACAGCAAGTTGTCCTGAGGATTGGAAACTTGAAGGCACTGTACATGCTTGATGGCTCCTTGATGCCTCTGATAGCATTTGCACAAATGCTATCTAGGTTATTCAAAGAGCAATGGTGAGGCCTGTAAATGGGGCAAGAATTGGTATCCCCATTTTACAGATGAGAAAACTGAGGCTCAGAGGAGCTTTCTCAGAGAGTTCTGCGTGTGTCTCTATGTACTTGTGAAAAGTGCTCATATGGTGGCCTGTGGGCCACCCCCTTCCCCCCAGTCATCACACTGGCAAGAGTAGGGAACACAGGGATTTCCCGGTTGGTCCAGGGGCTAAGACTCTGTACTCCTAATGCAGGGGGTTAGGGTTCGATCCCTGGTCAGGGAACTAGATCCCACATGCTGCAACTAAAAGTTCACATGCTGCATCTAAAGATCCCACACACCACAACGGAAAGGTCCCTTCTGCAACTAAGACCCAGTGCAGCCAAATTTAAAAAACAAACAAACAAACAAAAGAATATAGGGAAAGACTCTGAGGATTTTTGTGCAGGTAGCCTCTGCAAGGTAGGTTTGGGATGTCAGGTCCACTGGCCCCTATCAGAATAACAGCAGATCTTAAAGTGAGAAAGGAGGTCAAAGTGGGGAGAATTGCTGATCCCTTCCATTCTTTACAGTGCCCAGTTTAGAGCCTGGCAGCTTTACCCACCACTCCTCAATTGTTTACCGTGCATGTTTCTCACCATCTTGGCCGCCTGCCCATCCACTTGACCCCACTCCACGCACCACCTCTCCGTCCTTCCACCTGCAGCCCCCATCCGCCATCCATTCACCCAGCCAGCAAGTTATCAGGGTGCTCGTGTCATGTAAAACCGGAGAGTGACTGGTTTGCCAGTGGGAATCAATGTGAAGACTGCATCCTCAGGGTTCCGAAACCTCGAACCATTACAGCATGTTTTTGCCCTTTTATTTTCTCAGCAATAACGCAAGTGTTTTTCTATTTAGAGTAGTGGGCAGCTCAGCATTTCCATGTAATACACTTAAAATTTCTTATTTCTCAGAATCTCCAACGTGTACATTTATTTTTAAAAAATATTTAGGTATTCGGCTGTGCCGGGTCTTTGTAGTTGCAGCACATGCACTTTTAGTTGTGGCAGTTGTTCCCTGACCAGGGATTGAACCCCAGCCCCCTGCATGGGGAGCATGGAGTCTTAACCACTGGACCCCCCAGGGAAGTCCCAACAGGGTGTACATTTAAAGTGTACCTAAAATCAGCCATGTTTGTACAAAGTCTTCTGCTTGGAACTCTTCTTCAGAACTGCCATGGAGACACCAGCTGGTGTTCCTGAATGCAGCTTCAGAAATGACATCCGCAAATCAAAATTGCAGCCTATTCAAGCCATCTCTCCCAAACCCATACGATGAAGAGACTCTTGCCTTTTCCTTCTCCAGGGGATCTTCCCCAAAGTGAAGTGAAGTGAAGTGAAGTAAGTTGCTCAGGCGTGTCTGACTCTTTGTGGCTCCGTAGACTATACAGTCCATGGAATTCTCCAGGCCAGAATACTGGAGTGGGTAGCCCTTCCCTTGTCCAGGGGATCTTCCCAAGCCAGGGATCGAACCCGGGTCTCCCACATGGCAGGCATCTTCTTTATCATCTGAGCCAGCAGGGAAGCCCGAATGGTCTTAATACCTTTGTCAAATATCAACTGGTCATAGATGTATGGGTTTACTGTTGGACCCTCAATTCTATTCCATTTGTCTATATATCTCTTTATTCTCATACCACACTACAGTTTTGTAGTAAGTTTCAAAATTGACAAGTGTGAGTCCTCCAACTTTGTTTTGCTTTTTTAAGATTGTTTTGGCTCTTTGGGGCCCCTTGCCATTCCACATGAATCGGCAGATTGCTTTGGGTAGTGTGATCATCTTAACAAAAGTAAGTCTTCCAACCCATGAGCATGGGATGTCTTGCCATTTATTTAGGTCTTCTTTAATTTCTTTCAGCAATGTCTCTAGTTTTCAGTCTATAGGTCTTTCACCATTGTGATTAAACTTATTCCTAGGTGTTTTAATTCTTTGGAATGTGATTTTGTAAATGGAGTTATTTTCTTAATTCCCTTTTCAGATTGTTAATTGTTGGTGTATAGAAACAAAACTGATTTTTGTCTATTGATCTTATATCCAATAATCACTTAATTTACTACCTTTATTAGCATTTCTTGGTAGTTCTTCAGGATTTTCTGTATATAGGCTCATGTCATCTGTGGACAGAGGTGATTTTATGTCTCCCTTTTCAATTTGGACGCCTTTTATTTCTTTGTCCTGTTCAGTTGCTCTGGCTAGAACTTTCAGTAGGATGTTGAACAGCAGTGGTGAAAGTGAGCATCCTGTGTGTTGTTCCAGATCTTAGGGGAAAGCTTACCATCTTTCAACACTGAATATATATTTGCTGTACTTTTTTCATCAGTGTGCCTTACTCTATTGAAATTCTTTTCTATTCCTGCTTTTCTGAATGTTGTCATCATTAGAAGGTATTGGATCTTTTTTTTTTGGCCATGCCATTTGGCTTCTGGGATCTTAGTTCCCCCAACCAGGGACTGAACCTGGGCCCTTGGCAGTGAAAGCTGGAAGTTCTAACCACTGGGAATTCCCAACGGTGTTGGATTTTTCTGTGTTCATTGAGATGATCATTTTTTTCCCCTTTGTTCTATTAAAGTGGTTTGTTACATTGATTAACATTGGACAACCCTTAACTGACTTTTCTTTAAAAGGAAACTTGAGCACATGAAAAGAAAAACATCTTCTGACCCTGTGTGTTACCTAGAAAATAACCCAAACCACATTTCAGCAATTCCTGATGATTCCAGAAGCCAACAATCCCTTTCATCTATAAATTGGAATATAATAAAGTCTTTCAAAAAAAATATTGACTTATTCGTTTTTGGCCATGCTGAGTCTTCGTTGCTGCTCGAGGGCTTTCTCTAGCTGCCCGACCAGGGGGCTATTCTCTAATTGCAGTGCTCCGGGCTTCTCATTGCAGTGGCTTCCCTTGTTGTGGAACATGGGCCCTAGGCACATGGACTTCAGCAGTTGTGTGCAAGAGCTCCATTGCTCCTCGGCATGTGGGATCTTCGCGGATTGGGGACGGAATCTGTGTCTCCTGCATCAGGTGGATTCTTTACCACTGAGCCACCAGGGAAGCCCCTGAAGTCTTTTTTTCCTTTTTAAGTGCTTATCTATTTGGTTTGTTAGATCTTAGTTCCAGCACGTGGGTTTTTACCTAGTTGTGGCTTGTGGGCTTGGTAGTTGTGGTGTGCGTGCTTAGTCGCCCACATGCTTAGAGGTGTTGGGATTTTAGTGTCTCAACCAGTGACTGAACCTGTGTCCCCTACAATGGAAGGCACGTTCTTAAGTACTGGACCACCAAGGAAGTCCCCCTTTTTTTTTAAAAGAAGAAAAGCTTTATTGAGATATAATTCATATACCATATGACTCACTCACATAAAGTGCACAATTCTGCAGTTTTCAGTCTATTCACAGAGTTGTGAAACCATCACCACAATCAATTTTGGAACATTTTCATCACTCCAGTCAGAAACCCTGTACCCATTAACCTTCATCCCCACCCCATTAGCCCCAGGCAACTGCTAATCTTTCCATGTCTATTAATGCTGCCTAATTCAAGTGTATTGTCTATGTAATATGGAATCATACAATATGTGGTCTGTTGGAACTGATTTTTTCACTTAGCATAAAGTTAATTCCTTTTAGTGGCTGAACAATATTCCATTGTGTGGACAGACCACATCTTGTCTGTGCTTTTATCAGTGGACACTTGGGATGTTTCAGCTTTGGGGATATTATAAATAATGGTGCTATGAGTGAAAAGTGAAAGTGTTACTCGCTCGGCTGTGTCCAACTCTTTGTGACACCACAGATTTGAGCCCGCCAGGCACCTCTGTCCGTGGGATTCTCCAGGCAAGAATACTGGAGTGGGTTGCCATTCCCTTTTCCAGGGGATCTTCCTGACTCAGGGATGGAACCCAGGTCTCCTGCATTGCAGGCAGATTCTTCACCACCTGGGAAGCCCAGTGATGCTGTAACAGTCTTTTAATGCACCTAATCTCGTTGAGTCCTCTCTCACATGCATGTTCATGCTTTATGGTAAGCATAAACTTCTCTGAATTAGAAGTTAAGAAACATGCCGCAGACCCCAGAGCTCATGATGGGCAGAGCTGGGGGAGGGGAGCCCCTTCTCCGCTCCTTCTAATGCTTCTCCTTTCTAGCTCTCTCTGTCAAATATACAGCACCCCAGCTGGCTTTCACCACCAGCTCCTTTAAGAAGCCAGGTAACACGATTACATAGATCCTAAAATGTCTCTCTTGTTCTCCTTACAGATTTTCTGAATGATTCTGCTTCTTTTTCTATATTGTCTGATTTTCTCCTGCCTGACCCTTTCCTGATTAAAAAGCTGGGGGAAAATGTCAGACTCCAAGCAAGTCACCAAGAGTAAACGGAAAGTGAGCTTCAGCCCCAGTCAGGAGCCGATTCCAGCCTCAGTCAGCTCCCAGGAGCCACCACAGGAAGACTGCAACAGCAACCCTCTGCCAGAGACCCCTAGCCAGGCTGAGCCGGCCTCCCACAAAGGACCCCAAGACACCTGCCAGCAGAGAATCTCCCAATCGCCCCCGCCGCAGGATCCCCAAGGAAACCCCCTCTCGTCTGAATACACCTCCCCAGCATGCCAAGCCAGTGGGTCGGGGACGGAAGGCCTGGAGCTCCCGAATACCAGTGGCCTGCCCACGCCAGCCAGGCCCCAGGGCCAGCGAGCCAGAGCCCTCTGCAGAGAAGACAGGAAGCAGGCACACATCAGGAGACAGCTGATGACCAACTTCATCCTGGGATCCTTCGACGACAACTCCTCCGACGAGGACGCCGCTGCTGGCTTGTTCCAGCAATCTTCTCGGAAGGGCAGCCGGGCCAGCCTGGGGGCCCTGTGTCTGGAGACCGCTCAGGCCGCAGGCGAGACTGAGACCTCCACCTCCGTCATAAGGTAATGGACACTTTGTCCTTGTAACCAGGAGGTGCAGTGTTGGGGTGGGTTCCATACCCTTCCCTGCTCAGCCAAGCCACCGGCTATGCCAGTGCTTTGAGGGTGGCTATGTGGCAAGCAGGAGACATGAGCCTCCCCCCGCTTTCCTTCCCTCCTCTCAAAATCATTTGTTGAGTATATCCTGTGAGTACAGGGCTCCAGGCCAGGACACTGGCTTTCCAGAAGACTGTGGTCTAGTTGGGGCAGATGACCTTGTATGTAACAACTAATTATAATCTGTCACGCCAGTGTATGCTCCTCGGTTCTTTGTCTCGTCACAACAAAAATTTGGAGTGATGGACATTGAAGCCCCCTCGGCGGGTTTCAGCTTTCAGAGGACAGCCCGTGTTATAGCTCTTAAATAAATCAGTGTGACAGCTCAGGGTTACAGCTCTATTTATTTAGATAATAGCAGGAAAATCCATCTTTGAGGCATGAGGGCACGTTGATCCAAAGACGCGAAGAGAAGATGGCCCCATCACGCAGGGGAGAGAGAGAGAGAGAGAGAGAGAGAGGGCTTTGGCTCCTCTTTTTACATGTTTCTCTGTCCCTGGGCCTGTCTTATGTAAATTGGGCCAGCCAGGAGTGTTGTTTGTTTTACCTGAGGTTCTCACTCAGGTCCTCAGACCTTCCTTTGTTCTATTTTCGCGGGCTTTCCCTTCCAGGTCTTTTAGCCACCACCATTGTGGACTCCTTTTCCCTATTCTAACTACCTAACATTCCCCCCTCAAGAGATGGGAAGCCCAATTCTTTGGGAATAGGGGCGTCGAGGTCTCTCTGGCTACTTCCTGCTGAACTGGGACGGCGAGGGGCACTGGGCCTCCCCCTCTTGCTAGTCTCAGGCCTCAGAGTCCTTATAGCGGTGTCCATCTAAGGGTGACTGATATTTTCCGTGGTCGGCTGTAGTTTTATATCTTTGCTGAACTGGCGCTGCATGTCGTAGCTTGACCTGGGCAGAGACAAGACAGGTTAGACAATTGACAGTACATGGAACAGTCATTAGCAGCATCAGTATGGCGTAACAAGGACTAGTAGGGGCATTAGCCAATTTTAAATTCACATCACCAGGATGGCTCAAGTCTCTCCTGTTCAGGGATCAGAAGATCTCCTGTCTGTTTTGGCGTACTATTTCTGCCAAGCTGTGTTGGCTCTTTAGAGCCGTCTTGAGAAATCTTATCCCCAGAGACCAGATTTTGGGGTTGTTTATTAGAAGGGCACTCATTTGTAGTTTTGAATAGGTATCTGAGATCTCCCAGGGGCTCACAGGTGTATTGAGTGTCCTCTTCTGTTTTCTTCCACAGCCTGACTCGTGAGTAGTGAATCCAGGAGTCATGTTCTGGCACCTTGACTGCTGTGGGAGTAGACAGTATTACAGGGTAGGGGCCCTTCCATGTGGGCTGGAGTTGAGCCTTTGGGGACCCATCTTTCTAGACTTTAATTAGGACTTGAGTCCCTGGAGCATATAGTGGCGAGTCTTTAGAGGCTTTTGGGTCCTGGTTCATACCCCACAAGCATATATCCTGTTGGAATTGCCCAATGGCCATGGTATAAGACTGGAGGGTCTGAACCTCTGGATCTAGGAAGAGGTCATTGACATAAACAAAAGGTCTCCCATAGAGCATCTCATAAGGACTAAGACCAACCCGTTCCTTAGGGCCAATACGGGTGCAAAGGAGAGCTATTGGTAAAGCCTCCTTCCATCCCAGGGAGGTCTCTTGGGTTATCTTTTTTATCACTGATTTTAAGAATTGGTTGGCTCTTTTTACTTTTCCTGAAGACTGAGGCCTCCAGGCACAATGGAGATAATAAGTAATGCCCAATGCTTTAGAGACTCCTTGGGTGATCTTAGAAGTAAATGATGTCCCATTGTCACTTTGTAATGACCTGGGCAGACCAAACCTTGGAATGATTTCATGGAGCAGTTTTTTTTTACCACCTCCTCAGCCTTCTCAGTTCGGGTGGGAAAGCCTTCAATCCATCCTGTGAGTGTATCTATCATGACTAATAGGTATTTATACCCTTGAGAAACTGGCATCTGGGTGAAGTCCATCTGCCAGTCCTCTCCTGGATAAGCCCCACATCGTTGGACAGGCTGGGCCAGCTGGGGTCTTCGAGCTCCTTGGGGGTTGTTCAATTGGCAAGTGGGACAAGAGGAGACCACTTGTCTTATAGTCCTTTGGAGGCCTGTTCCTCTGAAAGACCTTTCTAGTAATCTTTGGAGGGCCTTTTCCCCTAAATGAGTGGTGGCATGTAAGGAGTTAACCAACTTCCATTGGAGGTTCCCAGGCAGAAAAAGGAGTCCCTCCTTGTGGAACCACCCCATATGATCTCTTGAAAGCCTTCACTCTTAGCTTTAAGAGTCTCACCTTCAGTATATGAAGGAGTTTCTGGCAAGTTAGTCTGTGGAACTAGGGTGGCAACCCCTATTAGGTCATGGTTCTGTAATGCTGCTCTCTTAGCTGCCTGATCAGCTGCTTGGTTCCCTCGTGCCACTTCTGTGCTCCCTTTCTGGTGTCCTTTACAGCGGGAGACTGAAACCTCAGTGGGCAGATGGACTGCCTCCAGGAGTCTAAGGATTTGATCACCATAGTTGATTGGGGACCCTTGGGTGGTCAAATGGCCTCTTTCTTTCCAAATAGCTGCATGTGCATGTAGCACCAGAAAGGCATACTTGGAGTCAATGTAAATGGCTATTCTTTTTCCTTTTCCCAGCTCTAAAGCTTGAGTCAGGGCTATGAGCTCAGCTAATTGGGCTGAAGTACCTGGTGGCAGAGGCTTAGCCTCTGTGATCTCAAAATTGGAGACTACTGCATATCCGGCTCTTCTTTTTCCATCCATGACAAAGCTGCTTCTGTCAGTGTACCAGATTTCCTCAGGATTGGTCAGAGGATCTTCTGACAATCCCTCTCGGGGTTTTGTCCAGTGGTCCAAGGTTTCTAGACAGGAGTGAAAGGGGAGAGAGCCCTCGAGGGTAGGCAGGAGGGTGGCTGGGTTAAGAACCTCACAAGGGGATATAGTGAGGCCTGGATTTTCCATCAGTATTACTTGATATCTAATTCTTTGATCAGACATCCATAAATGGCCTCTCCCATTTAGGAGCTGTTTTACTTGGTGGCTGGTAAAAATAGTTAGTTTGCCCCCAAAGGAGAGTTTTAAAGCAAATTCTATCATGATTGCAATAGCTGCAAGATTTCGAAGGCAGGGGGGCCAGCCTTGGGTGATTGGATCAAGTCTCTTGAATAAGTAAGCTACAGGCTGGGGCCCAGATCCCAGCCTTTGAGTTAACACTCCCAAGGCTATTCCCTCTCTTTCATGGACATAAATTTGGAATGCTTTTTTTTTTTGGATCTGGCAACCTCAAGGCAGGTGCCTGCGTTAAGGCCTATTTTAGTGTAGCCTCTGCCTCCTTTTGAGGCATTCCCCACATTAGTGGGATTGAATCATCTCGTCCCTTTAAGCTTTTATATAAGGGCTGGGAAATTAGACCACAGTTGGGTATCCAGATTCTACAATTCCCAGTTAGCCCCAGGAGAGCTCGCAATTGTTTTCGAGTCGTGGAGGAGGGCAACTGGAGGCTGTACCCGATCAGAGGACAGCCTCCTGGACCCATGTGTAATCTGAACTCCCAGGTAAGTGACCTTTGTCTCGACCATCTGTGCCTTAGCACGGGAGACTTTATATCCCCTTTCTGCCAAAAAGTTTAGAACCTGAATTGCATGTTGTTGGCACTTTTCTCATCTGGAGAGCAGATTAGTAGGTCATCTACATATTGTAATATTTTCCCATTAGGTCCCAGGTCCAGATCTAGGAGATCCCAGCTAAGGGCCTGTCCAAACACGTGGGGGCTGTCTCTGAACCCCTGAGGTAATACTGTCCAAGTCATCTGTTGGTGTTTTTCTCCTGGGGCCTCCCACTCAAAGGCAAAAAGATATTGGGATTCTTTAGCCAGTGGTATGCAAAAAAATGCATCTTTGAGATCCAAGACTGTAAACCACTTGGCACTGGGTGAGATTTCTCCCAAGATTACATAGGGATTGGGTACTGTGGGATGAAGGGGGACTACAGCTTCATTTATGATCTGGAGATCTTGAACCATTCGTCAGGTTCTGTCCTTTTTCCTTACTGAGATGATTGGGGTGTTACAGGGCGAACTGGTGGAGACCAATAGCCCACAAGCAAGGAATTTATTTATTAAAGGCTATAGTCCCTCCCGAGCCTCTCTTTTGAGAGGACATTGTTTCCGGTTAGGAAACCGAGTGGGGTCTCAGAGGACAGTGATGACCGGTTCAGCTTGGTGGGCTCGTCCGGGAATCCCCTGGTCCCACACCTGGGGGTTAATTTTGTCCTCCCATCGTCTTTGTTCTCTCTCTATTGGAGAAGGTGTAATGGATTCTTCAGAGGTAACCAGAAGCCGTAGGGCCCTAGGGGCTGAAAATCTCCCCATCACAAGGGTGGTCCCCAGTTCAGTGAGTATGTCTCTTCCCATTAAGGGAGTAGGACACTCAGGGAACACCAGAAACTGGTGGGAGAAAATCTGTCCACCCCAGCAACCAAGAAGTGCTTGCGTGAATCTTCTAGTAGTTGCTTTTCCTGTAGCACCCAAAATGGTACAAGTTTGGGAGGAGAAGTCTCCGGAGTAGGAGATCAAGACAGAGTAGTAGCCCCTGTGTCAACCAAGAAATTCTCGGACCTACCCGCCACATCCAGTTGCACCCTTGGCTCCAGCCCCGTGATGGTTATCTGTGACAGGTGGACTGGCTGGAGCGGGCCGCTTTGGTCCTCTTGAACCATCGTGAGGGAAGGCTTGGTGCTTGACCTTGAGGCTCTTGGGTCCCGAGGGCAGAGTGCTGCCCAATGTCCCAGTTGATGGCATCTGTGGCAAGCTGTTCTAGGAGACTTGTCCCGGTTAGGACACTCTTTGGCCCAATGCCCCGCTTGTCTACAGATCAGGCATTTGCCCC